CCCGCCAAGCAGGGAGCCCGATGCGGGGCTCGATCCCAGGACGCTGGGATCATGACCTAAGCCGAAGGCAGGCACTTAACGACTGAGCCACCCATGCGCCCCCATATAGTCGATCTTCTTTACTCACAGGTTCCATATTTGCACGTTCACCTATGTGATAAAATCTGTGACCCCCAAGTCAATACTCAGGCACTTGCATGGTGGTTCACTGACAAGCCTGTTTATAGAGCAGCAAAAATTTGGAAAAATTTGAGTTGCCTGAGGTGTCTGGCCAGTGTCTTGTTTTGATTCTCATCCTACCAACAAGTGCTCTTTCTGTGGTCTATTTAGTGCCACATTTTTGTGCTTTGTTCCAGTGACTTCATGGTTTAGGATGGTCCCTGAGCATAGAGTTAAAGTGCTGTGAAGGGTTCCTAAGCCCAAGATGGCTATGACGAGCCTTATGATGAAATATATGTGTTCAGTAAATTATGTTCAGGCATGAGTTATATAGTGTGTTGGCCTTGAGTTTAATGTTAAAGAATCCATACTATATCGTCATAATGTGTCTTCAAATACACAGAAGCATGAAACAAGGTTAGGTATTGATCAGTTGACCAAAATGTTGTGACCAGAGGCTCACAGGAACCTGATCCTACATTTCCCCTCAGGGCAGTAATTCAGTATTCACAAAGTCAGTGTTCATGGCAATTTTATCAACTTAACGTAGGTACTGTGAATAATGACAACTGTATTGTCTTTTATGATTTCTGACTTTCCTTGGTGTTACACACAGAAGGGGCTTTTGCCTCTGAGGATATTTTTAAAAATAATCTAGTTGTCAATCATCCAGTCCTTTAACAATTTAATTTTCTCATATTTATATCTTTGCTTCATTTGGAATTTTGGGGTAAGGTATGAGAAAGCAGCATATAATTATACTGTTGTCCCAAAGCCACTTATGGAATGGTTCCTTTTCTTCCTAACTGATTTTAAGATTCTGGCACTTTGCTGACATCGAGGGTGGTAAGAGTTCCAAACTCACTGTATCTTCTGAAACCACAGTTAATTTTTAAAAGTTGACATGATAGAGGTAGTTTTCAAAGTCTCTCCGTTTCTATATGGCATGCACCCCTTTCCCAGATTCCACCCTGCTCATACCACCTTTAATATGCTAAAAGCCATGGATACAGGTCTGTTTCTCTTACTAATATTTAGAGTAAATGTTTAGAGTAAATGTCAAATCAGATGGAATTGGTAACTGCAGATTTATGACTCTCCCGGGCACAGTCTGCACGCAGTTGCTGGAAAGCAGTTTTAGGTGGGCATGCCTCAAGTGGGAATCCTACCATGTCTTAAACCTTAGTCTTAGATCTGCTGGGTTGTGGTTTACCACTTCTTTATTCAGAAAGATACTGAGCCAAAGTCCTCCAGGCAAATCAGTGATTACGAAGATATGATCTAATTAAAGAAAGGCTCTAATAATGAAAGACCTATGGAATAGTTAAGGGAAAAGGATCTATGAGACTAATAAGAGGTTACGGGACCTCTTGTGTAATCCCACAATTCTGGCTCTTCTGTAGAAGGCAAGAGAGCCAGTCAGGGTGAGCCACCAAATGTTATTTACAAATGTGAATGTTTCCAAGTTTTAAATGGTCAATTTCACCCGCAGTCATTTCAGTCATGATTTATTCATTCAGTGCCAGGTCGATTTTGTTGGGAGGATGTGCGCAGAGGCTCTCGAAAAGGTCACCATTGTGTGAATGTAGATTTCAAAAAGTTTCCTACTTTCTGACTTGATGAATTTCTTTTTTTTTTTTTTAAAGATTTTATTTATTTATTCATGAGAGACAGAGAGAGAGGCAGAGGGAGTAGCAGGCTCCCAAGGAGCAGGGAGCCCGATGCGGGACTCGATCCCAGGACGCTGGGATCATGACCTGAGCCGAAGGCAGACGCTTAACCATCTGAGCCACCCAGGCGCCCTGACTTGATGAATTTCTGCTATAAGGTTGAATAGTCTAGGTACTGGCAGGCCAAGGACACAATTTCAGACTTCTGATCAGAACAGAAATGTGAGATGCATCTGAAAAGGAAAGGCACAAGAGAATATATTTCAGACTACGGGGCACAAGCCCGGGTTACCTATGTCAGCAATGAGGCTGCCGGGCTTCTGCTCCTGGAGGAACTGGCGGACGCGAGGCCAGGCTTTGCTCTGCAGGTCACTGAAGTAAGGTGCCGTGCTCTCATACACATCATGCACGTGTTGCTTCTCCAGCTGGGCAGCTTCATGATCCATCCTGGGAATGGGGCCACCCCAAGAAATGCAGGTCAGAGTACGCACCAGAGATAACTGATGGAGGATGCGGATTTCCTAAAATCGGGGACCTACAACCGTCAAGGTTGTACTGTCCTTACACTCTCTTTTGCACTGCGAAGGACAAAACCTGCAGTGTGACCCCACCATAATTGTCCAAAGGCTAGCAAATGCATAGTTTTTACCTGCAGATCTTCGGAAAATAATGGTTTGGAAACGAGCCAGCCACCCTACGTTCCTGTGCAAGATCAATTCTTCATTTTGGAAGCATATATAAAAGGCTTACCAAATGGTTCATTCTGGATAAAATTATCTAATGCTAAATACGTTTTTAAAATTTTATAACAGGTAGCTCATCACTCCAATCCAATCACAAAGCCCTATTGAATCTACCTTTTTTTTTTTTTTTACAGGTCTTTGAAATTTATTGTAGTCACATAGGGAAAAAGTCAGGTTTAATGTTTTTGGATTCCAACCATTTCTCTATTTCCATACTAATTCTGCTTTAGAAAAGGTGCTCATCTCCTGCCTGAATTACTTCCACAGTCTGTTAACAGGTTTTTTGTTTGTTTTTGTCTTTTGCCCCTCTCAACCTCTTTCCTTCACTTATGCCACAACTATTTTTTTAAAACATAAATCCAGTTGTGTTGCTTTCCATCTCAGACTTCTTCAGAGGCATTTTATACCTTGTTCAATCAAGTTCAGGTGTCTTAGTGGGGCTTACAAGGCTCTTTCTGATCTGGCCTTAACTTACCTCTTGAAGCCATTTCTCACCACCCTTCCGCAGCATCAGATGAGCTATATTACTCAGTGAACCATGGTTTCTCAGATGCGACACATTCTCTCCCTGATCCAGGGGCCTGAACAGATGCTGTGCTTTACCTGGCTAACTTCCATTCATTGTTGACACGCACATCACCTCTTCCAGAAAAGCCTTGTCTGACCTTTCATGCAGGATTAGGCAATCAGGAGTGGAAAAATGCAAGAGCAGTCTTAGAGGCCTCTGCTGTGTTGGGTTTAATCTTTTAATTATTCTCTTGAGGCATGTGAGTGAAGAGTATCCCAGGGAAGTGGCCAGGGGCTCAGCTTGCGGCTTTTTACCAATCAATATCAAAGTATTTTCAATCATTTGAGAGCCCTACTGGTGCGCATCAGCTAGTTTGGTGCTGCCCTTTGTACCCCTGTGCATCCCATGCATACCTCTACACATACAAAGGGCTATAATAGTTTATTTGATATTTTCCTCTAGTGCTGGCTGGAAAATCCTAGAGATCAAGGGCTTGTCTTATTTAACGCTGAATCCCCTGGAGTTTGCACACAGCAGACTGTCAATAAAGGAACAAACAAACATAACTGGAATGGAATCTAACCATGACCACAGAAGGTGGCATTGACTTTGGGAGAAGAGGGAGTGACCGTGGGGCATGTGGGAAGAAAGGAACCTACACTCACAAGCTTGCAGATGAGAGAGCGACAGGAGAAGGGCCCAGTCTCTAGACGGCCCCTGCGTCCCGCTCCCCACCCTCCATCCTCTTACACCCCCACCCTGGGAAGTAGGAAGCACTTGAATAAGATGGTGTCTCATTAGGAACTACGAAGTACCTTCCCTTCTTACGCCCCTTTGCATTTAAGAAATATCTTGTGGAGAGATACTTTGAGACTACATAAATATCCTGTTTTTCAGAGTCTCATCCGCCAGTTTCAGCGTCCTGTGATTCTTGCCCAAAACAGTTAGTACCATAATCATCACCAAATGATGATATTCTAATTCCATCATTCCTTCTATTGCAAGGAAGAGCTTCTCAGGATTTACTCTTAAGAAAACAAATTAGCAGTAGACTCTCCTTAATTACCATGGACCTGCCCACAGCCCCTGCAAAAAAATCTGGCAAACTCCTAACAGAGTACAAATCTCATTTGTGAGGTCTGACAAAACTTCCACCCAAACTGAAACAGCTTATGTTTCACCCTCAACTGGAATTTACAAAGTAAACAGATGGCTGCCTGTAACTTCCTACACACCAGAAAAGCCCAAACGCCCAGTGCTTTTCTTTTTAATCAAAATCTCCGTAGACTTAAGTTAACTCTTTAACACTTTTTCCCCCTCAAGGAATCAAATCAGGCAATGCACTTTTGAGGAACCCTAGAACAAATACATTTTACTTTCTTGTACTTGCACATGTCAAGTGGCAATCAGCATAAACTCGATGATCTTCAATCTGGCTCCAACTACAAGCTCAGAATTTGTGGAATCTGAACAGTACCCCTTGCAGACCTTCCTCTAAGTCCTCTCCCAAATTGCTTGGCCTCTACTGTAAACAAAGACCTATTTTAAAGTGTGTGAACAACAGAAATCCACTTTGTTTTTATTGCATTTTAAGTTAAGATTATATACTGCAGAATAAAGAGCTGACTGTGAACCTGATTTGTAGAGTTGGGGCTCTCCGATGTGACATTTTTAACACTGGATTTAAATTTCCTGCAATATTTTCCAGATGAATGTTATACATATAGGTAAATTCCTTGTGAATTAGGTAATGTGATTAACCTAGTGAGATTAGTACTAAAATAAGAGCACAGGGTTCAAGGTGCGGCTAGGGAGATGGGGTTTGGTTTAGCCAGGCTTCTTAACCTGTGTGCTGTCAGATTCTAGGCCCTTGTAGCTAGCTGATGCCTTGTTGGTGAGTCATGAGAGAAGGTAAAATAATCTGGAAGGTAAGGAGAAGTCAGAAGAAGTAGTGCACTGAAAATTCAAAGAACTAATTTGGGTTTTACTTGAAGTGCAATTGAAAGTAGAAAGTAGTTTTCAGTTGGTAGATGGGTTGGGGGGGTGGGTAACATGATTGGACTTACAATTTTAAAAGATCGCCCTAGGCATATCTAATTCTAATTAGACTAGAATAGCTATTGTTTTTATTTGTCCCACCAAGTTCACCATCCCCCTTGTTCTGATAATTTGTATCTTGTCCTCCCTGGAGGGGCATGTGACCCAGGCCTGGCCAATCATGGTATCGTATTCCGGATACAATCATTGGTCCAAGGTGGGCAGGTGATACCAGGTGAGCCAATTAGAGTCCTTCCTGGAGAGATCTCTGTGTGGAACTAAAGAACCAGTGGCCTTGGGGCACCTGGGCGACTCCCATCGGTTAAGCATCCAGCTCTTGATTTCAGCTCAGGTCATGTTCTCAGGGTCTGGAGATCGAGCCCCCAGTGTGAAGCCTACTTAAGATTCTCTCTCTGGGGCACCTGGGTGGCTTAGTCGTTAAGCATCTGCCTTCAGCTCAGGTCATGATCCCAGGGTCCTGGGATCGAGCCCCGCATCAGGCT